CGCTTTAGTGACACAGTTTGGAAGAACAGACTTTGTTCAATTAACGATAACGAGTCAGATGTTGACTTTGATTAAAAACAAGGAGTGACATCATAATCAGTCATCAACACTAATACTCATAATATTATTCTGTTAATAATCTCCCATTATTACTACATTACCTGCTATAACACAGAATATTTAATTGTTCTGTTTTGACTTTATTTGTTACTCAAATATTTGATTTGCTGACAGCAGAAGTCTGTTATTAAGTTATAAGCTCGTATAAATACACAGAAGCTACAATGATGACGATGTTTCAGCTGCAGTAACACAGGATGAACGAAGCCTGTGTGTGTGTGTCCTGTACCTCACACACATGAACACAGCAGGAACGCTGAAACTCCTGTTCATACTTTAAGTAAACAGGCTTTGTGTATCTTAATGTGTGATAATGTTCAGCAGCCCTTTGACTAAACGATCAGAGTACTGTGGATTCTGGTTAAAGTACACCGTGGGGTCGACTGGGCTAAACGCCCGATTGGTTAATCGATTATCTGAGGGATCAGCTGTTCGTTGGTGTCAACTGCAATGAAGTAACAACATATTACCCAATAACGGGCAGACTTCCTGTTTGCGGCGCATACGTCACACCCAGCCCGGTTCGGTTCGGGTTCACTGACGGAGCTGAAACCCGAACCCCGGGCCTGACACTGGAATCGAACCGAGTGAGCCGAGCCTGTGTGTCAATAACACACCCTGACCGTTAAGCTACGTAGCTGCTGTTAGCATGCTAGTGGCTAGCGTCTCTGACAAACTGTTAGCGAAATCGAAAAATCCGCCGGTTTAGGCGCACGGAGCCCGGACAACCGTGCCGTTAGGCGGCCCTTTGGTGTTATATCTGAGCGCTGTCACTCGGTCTACGCTGCGTTCACAGCCCGTTAACGGAACTGAGAGACAAAGCAGCGGACGGTCATCTTCAGTCCGCCCGGCTAGCTTGCGCTTTCATTAGCTTAGCTTAGCATAGCTCCTCGGCTAATCTTCCAACTCCGCCGGAACGGTCACAGCCGACATCAAACTGACACTTACTATTCGGGATTCATCGTTGACTACAGGCTCAGAACCGTCACTGCGGTGGATTCAGCTGCAGGTCGTCGCGGATTAATCTGTAACTGGCCTCGTAGTGAAGAAAAAACACCGTTTTTTCTGATGGAGTGGCTAAACTGCCCGTCGCAGCCAGAACAGCATAATCGAATCAAATATGGCTGTCTCACTACCTACCCGGAAACGCCGCAGATTGGAATCATGGGTAATGTAGTTCTGTCAAGATGGGCGTTTACACGTCAAGACACACAAACAAGATGACGTGTTATACTTAAAACGTATACATATATTTTTAACGTGCGCTATTATATTATATTTGATTATTTAGGCAGTTTTTGCCTGGTATAAGTTGCTGTGTTGATGTGTGATACATTCGTTCTTTAGGCGACCCAGCCCTGCTGATGAGTGGCGAGACAAGCATGAGGATTTTGGGTGTAGTTTCTGTCTGAGTGAAGAACTCTGTAAAGATGTACATTTCTTGTTAGTTGTCAGTTCATTTAGATTTTGTCTGTATCAGGATGACCAACTTAATGTTCCCAGGGGGCCACGTTAGACGGGGCTGATGTGGAGAGACACAGTAAAAAGCTGAACTCAGTTCTGCTCAATATTCTTTTAATCTGTTAAAGTGCTGCTGGATAGTGACACTGACATTTTATAACTATGTAATTACCATTTCT